AATAATAATAATAATAATAATAATAATAATAATAATAATAATAATAAATTATGTGATGTTAAGCAATAGATGTTTTATAAACTATCCTATTATCATAAAGACATGGAAGTACGATTGTAGTCTCCTGAATTTAATCATCTGTAGCCTCTTTGTAGGTACACATTTAGTTTAGATGATACCAAGTAACTAATGAAATTTTGTTAGATGAATTATGCAATTAAATGAAGTTCAAATTCCAGTGCAGCTTCAAATTCTACTTACTACTCCTAAACTAAAATTGCTAAAAATATGGACATATGGATTTTTTTCCCCTTATTTATAAACAGCTAGAAAGCTCTGAAAGACTTTTTGCAATAGTAATTTAACTAATAGCTCAGATTTCAAGATTAATCTTCATATATATAAATAAAAGTTCTAGTCTTCTACATGAATAACCTTCAAAGCTTTAGTGATGTGTACAAGTTAAAATTTGATGGGGGGGTGGGGTGGGGAGAGGTAGTGTAAAGGAAGAAACAGCAACAACAAAATAACCCAACCAGTCAAACTGTTTATTTGTTTAAAAATGTCTTTTTAAACCATATTAATTTGTGTAAGTTTGACATAAATAAGCAGCTTGTAGATACCAAGTAATTATTGAAGTGGGCTAAATGTGATACAGCCTGGTGATTTCACAATGTCCGGTACTTTAAGAAATGAGAAACTGAACATGATGGTGAAATTTGTGTTTGTAAGCACAAGCACCTGTGTGCATGTGAACATATGAAATTTAGAGTGCATGCCTCCTGTTGTCTCACAAAGTGCATCACAAAGTCAGAGGACAACTTTGGATATCATTCCTCAGGTACTGTCCACCTTTCTTTTGAGACAGGATCTCTTTCAGGACAACAACTTGCCAACATGGCAGTAAGCTCCAAGATCTGCCTCAACAGCACCAGCATAACAAGAAGTACTACCATTTATTTCACATGGGCTCTGTCTGGGTTTTAAACTTGGGTTCTCCTTTTTTTTTCTTTCTTTCTTTTCATGAGTTTTTTTTCTGTATTTTTTTTAACTTTTATTAATTACACTTTATTCAGGAGAGGGGCACCTCCCCTATGAGTGGACTTGAGGAGGGGCATGCGTGAAGAGGGGAGAGGAAAAGTGAGATTAGGAGGGGAGGAGGGAGGGGTTCCCCTTCTTTTGAGGCAAGCAAATATTAGCTGCGTTACACCAACAGCCACAGAATAGATTTTAAAAATAAACTGTCATTCTGTGCTTTATATATTTAGATTATCTTCAGCTATCTCTCAAATTAATAGTTTTTATTAGTATATACTAACTGTACAAAGCACTTTGATCATATTCTTATCTTCCAAGGAAAGAGTCATTGGAGAATCAAACATAATATTCAGTAAAGAATATACCAGTCTATCCAGACTTGCAAAACCAAGGAAGTACACAGAGAGCACCTTTTGTCATTACACCCAGACAACAGATACACCACATGAAAAGAAGCTGCAGCCCTGTCAGAAATACTGAGCATTCCAATTTGCTAAATCTTTTATGTTTTATTAAATTTTTATTTTTTATATTAATTACAGTTTATTCACTTTGTATCCCAGCTATAGCCCCCTCCTTCATTCCCTCCCAATCCCACCCTCCCTCACCTCCTCCCATGCCCCTCTCCAAGTCCAATGATGGGGAGGTCCTCCTCCCCTTCCATCTGACCCTAGTCTACCATGGCTCATCAGGAATGGCTGAATTGTCCTCCTCTGTGGCCTGGCAAGGCTCCTGCCCCTCAGGGGGAGGTGATCAAAGAGCCAGGAAGGCAATGTAGCTTGCAAATTGCAGATCTCAAAGAGATGTTATAGCTGTTTCTCAAATGTATTGTTTTCCTTTATTTTACTAAAAGAACACAGTAAGAAGTGTGCCAAACACTTACCTAGAAACTATGCTGGAACCATTATAGAGGTCACTAGCGTATGACAATGTGGCCAATGGTCTTACTGAGTTGTATCGAGTAAACTTGGACAAACATTCCTGAAATTCATCTAACTGGCTTGCAGTTCTACTGTCATCTGCATCAGAAAAAACAAAATTAAGTAAATGAACAACACTATAAAGGAAGCAAAGAACAATATCCTTATAGTACAGATTATCTTTTAAATAAAAATATTTGTTGAAGATTCTAAAGAAGACCACTATGTTCAAATTAATTAGGTGATCTTTTAGACTTAATAATAATGGTCTAGGGATTCACTAAAACATCTTCCTATATCAATAAAACATAAATGTAATCTCTTCTGCTTTAGATTTAGTGCTCATTTCAGGGTAAAATAAAACATTCCTAAAACACCTTCTAGTGAACAGAAGTTAAATAATTCATTACAATCAAATTCCAACTATCAATGCTGACAGTAACTGTTGAAGGAAGATCTACATGTAGATGGATATTTCTTAGTTTAGCAAAATGAGTTTATAGGGATGTACATTTATTCCAGACTTATAGTGGAAGAAAATTAAATAATACTTATTATGGGGAAAACTAAAGTATTTTAAGTCCTATTCTCAGTCAGATTATAGAAAACTGCAATGTATAAATTACTGACTATCAAAGAAAACAATAATGACATCAAATAGAACACAATAAAAGTCCCTCTAAAGTAAACTATTCAAAGTGAAAGCACCTGAGATTTAAATCATGACATTAACTTACAAAATAACTGGCAACTATCTATTCATTAATACAGAAGTATGTTTGTAGTAAAACACATCTAAAATACTCAGTTTTCCAAGGCTGCTGTAAACCTGCATTTTTAAACTTTCCCCAAAGAACTGAAAACACAAAATGAAACAAACACAAATGTACAACACAAAATTATTGCATTAGCTTCCTGGGACTAAAATTTGAAATTATTTGTTTTAATGCTATCTTCTCACTTTTTCTCGTACATTTACATGCATACAGCATTTTAACATAAACTTTTTGATTCCACTTATTAGATATTATCTGAGGTAATATAGTAGGCATAAGGAAATTAATATGCAAAAAAATACCGGTTGACACAAACCATGTTTTAAGTATCTGAAAACTTCCTCAGTATGATAAAATTTATCTAGTAATTATAATAAACAGTTATTTGAAGAAATTAAGCTCTCATTGTTATTTTATAAATGTTAAAGATTTAGGCAGTCAGTAAATCCATCTAACAACCCCGGTTAAAGAGATCCCAGTTAGTCGTGTTTTTATTCTAAAAACAGTACAAGAATGACCTAATCAGCATGCACTATCACAACTGAGGTAAAGATTTTATTCCACAAAAATTATACTGAGAAAGTTCAAAAGAACATAAATGAAAAAAATTAGTTATAAGGGCAGGCAACAAAATCAACTACTACAGAGTATGTGGATATAATAACTGCTTATTTTTGTTTGAAATCCTATTACTGTGAGCTACAAAATATAAGTACCGGCAAGACAATTTCTTTATTCATTCAGAAAAATATTGATGTTAATCTGTTCTTATGTATTTTGTCTTCAATTCCTAAGTACATAATCACAGATGTTCAAGAATATTTACTCTGTTGAAGACCATAACTTGTTTCTAGTGTAAATGTACTCCTAGCTAGCATTCAAGTAGATTAATATAAACATCCAGTATTTTATAAGGAAAAAAACAGAAGGCCAGAATTAAAAGCATTTGCTGCAGATGACCTGAGTTCGGTTCCTAGCACCCACATGGTGGTTTACAACTAACTATAATTCTAGTTACAGAGGATCTGACGTCCTCTTCTGACATCCACAGGCACCAGGCACACATGTGGTACACAGATAATTCATGCAGGCAAAACATGCATACATGTAAAACATAACAAAGCTACAAAACAAACATAGCTTTTTCAGTATCTAAATGTATACCAGATGTCTCTGCCATATCTGGTTATATGAAGGTTTGGTTTTGTCTATTAGGCTGTTTTATGATCAACATGCATATACATCTGTTGGCATATTACCTCTCCCCTCCTAATTACCGGTTAGTTTGGAGCAGTGTTTTCACTATCTTTTCTTCCTCTTAATCATTTTTCATTTTCATCCTTTTAAATTATAATTAATTTTCTATAATCATCCATCATTTTTACAATTGTATAAATAGGTAGAAGTGGAAAATAATAAAGTATAATCAACATTTTATGAACTTTACTGGGTATAAGTTAAGGTTTCGTCCTGAGTATCAAAAGAACCTCATCTTGAGTAGTACACTTATAGCAAGCCAATGTGCAAAGACAGTACAACTTGTACAACTTAATATTTCTAAAACGCAAAGACAACATGCCTTAAGTACGATAGAGACATTAATAAAAATCTTTCTAATTTCCTTCTGGTGTGAACTATCTTCTCTCCTGCAAACCTACCTTCTCCTGACCACATTATGCCATGCTCATTCTCACCTCACAACATGCTGCCGTATCTTAAAAATAGCATCTCTCAAGCTCTTTGTCATCTCTACTTGAGGAAATTGTCTCAGAGTCTACCTTGTGGTCTACTGTGCTCAGCATTAAAATACCAAGTAATGTTTACAGCAATCAACAGGAATTCTCTCTACCCATTAAAATATACGTATCAGACTACTATTAGTTTATTATAGAGACTTAATAAAGGCCTTAAACCATTGGCAGTGAATGTACTATTTTCATTTATAGAAAAGTTCATCATTAATGGCGAATCAAATATGCTTAAGACAAATTTTAGGATTTCTCTAAATATGTATATTTGTGTATGTATAAATGTGAATGCACAGGCTGACCACCAACTCACTACGAAATCAGGGATGACCTTGCACTTCTAATCCTACTGCCTCTACTCTCAAACTACTACTGCAGAGCACACCCTGATTATTTTTCCTTCTTAAGCGTAGTACAGGCGATCAAATTCACTCTCTCCTGCATGCTAGGCACGCACTCTACCAACAGAACCACATACTCAGCCTACATAAATTAATATTTTTTTCTACACCCCCAATTATGAGGCAAATTTGTCAAAAACCCCTAAACAGTATATATATTATTTATACAATATATTATAAAGATGTTCATTCATTTAGGAGGAAGCCAAGGCTCAGTTTCTAATAATCAGTACACTACCAATTTTCCCCATGATGGTTTTCATTTACAACAGGCATAATACTAATGGAGAGGAACCTAACATGTACTAAGTACCGACTCAAAAGTACAAACTTTGCCTATAACTATTAAATATTTATTTATTTATTTATTTAATTATCTATGTGTATGCGTGTGTGCACCACGTGTACGCTGGTGCCCAAAAGAGACCAGAAGAAGGATTCAGAGCCTATGTTGCTAAAGTTACATGCAGTCTACTGATGTGAGAGTTGGGAACTGAACATAGGTTCTCTGGAAGAACAGAAGTCCTTTAAGCCATCTCCCCAGACTCTCTCCTGTAACTCTTTGAACACCTGAAGGTTACTAATATACAACCTTCACAGATAAGATGTTGGGAAAAGCTGAAGAGCAGTTTTATTATTTCTCTAAAATTCATAGTGTCTTATGCTATCATGTCCATGAGGTCTTAGTTTGTGTATTTTGAATGTTTCTAATATTTTTTAAGTTAATTTACACTAGCCTGGCCCAAATACAATCTCTCAAAATCCTCACCTAGAACATTCACTTATGTTTTTTCATTTTCACTTTGGCCTATATTTTCACACTCAGTTGTATCAATGGATATTGCTCGTTTATAGCAAATGGAATTATTAGCTACCTGCTGCTTTTGCCTACAGATTTATAACACCCACTTTATGACAAATAAAAAACAATTCTTCCATCTTTTTATGCCCAGTGTAAAGAATAGTGCTTGAAACTTAATAATGTTGAACAGGAACTTGCTAGCTACAAAGCCATGGTTATTTTCAAACGTTAAGGCTTGCTCTAGAAGAATTAAACATTCCCAAATCAAGAAAGTATTACCAGAAAAAAAAAAAAAAGTATTCTTTAAGATCTCTAAGAGCCTCAACACTGTCAAAAACACACTGCTTTGCAATTAGAACTTTCCATAAATCTAGCATATGAACCTGGAAATATAGCTGAAGGGTGATTTTCAGACATTTTAAGAGAAATCCTGAACATGTACCTGAGATACGAGACATCCTTGTAGAAAAATAACACTGCTCTAAGTCTTCAAAATGAGCAGTGAGTCGCTTTCGTCTTGATGCTAATGTGCTGTTATACCAAGGCTGTTTCTTTGTCTAAGGTGATAAGAAAAGACACTTACAACCAGCACAATCCACACCCTTACACAGAATAGCCAAATGCTTACTTACATACTTTCAAATGTGCATTAATTAAAACACCTACAAATGGTGAAAAGCAACAATTCTCAGATCACACTGAGAATCGAAAAATTTTTCTTTTCAAGTAAAAACAGGAAAAAAAATCCTCTCACAGAATGGTTAAAAATTAAAAATGAAACAAACTCTTTTAAAAACAGTAAAGCAAAGGCAATGCAAGCCAGCTGGAAGTGCTTGCCTAGCATGCACAAAGCCCTGGTTTCCATCCCCAGCACCATATAACTGACAGTGGTGACCAAGGCCTGTTAAATTCAGTACTTGAAGAGAAGGCAGAGGCAGGAGGATCAATGGTTCCAAGTGAAGCTTGGATTCATAGCAAGTTTAGGGGCCAGCCTGGGCTACAGGAAACCTTGTTTCTAAAATGTTAAAAAAAACAGAGAGAAAAAAAAAGAGAAAAACAAACTATAAGTTAAAAAAGATTATGAGGTAAAAGAAAAAAAAATAAATGAACAGTGCTGACAAGAGAAAAAAACTTGAAGTGAACTAATTTTAATTACAAGGACTGAAAGTAGAAGAGAGCCATCAGCTAAACCAGTTATAATATGAAAAGGATTAAATGTATAAATGTAACTTTCTACCCCACAACATATTAAAAACATTCAGTTCGATTCCCTATAGTGATCTGTAGGTACCACAACTGCTATCTATCAGGAAATAACTATTTCTTTTATGAACTACTCTTCTATACCAAAGCTTTCTGGATTCACCTTTCTTGGCCTCAATAATATCATAAAAGTAATCTTCTTCGGAGTCTGGACCCTGGTATACACACACTGTTTTACTACCCTATGATAAAAAAGAAAGTATGCATGAAGCACTTTACCAGTACATGTACTTAAATTAAGCTCTGAGTTAGTTACTGTTCTCATGGGACATAACAGTAACATAAAATTTATTAGGAAGCAACAAATAAGAGGAAAAGTGGTAAACATAAACTCTCCCTACCTCAGGGAAAATAGCTGTGTTGATAAGGTGTTTGCCATGCAAATGTGGTGATGAAAGTCTGATCCCAAAACCCACTTTCAAAAGCTGGATATAGTGGAACATATTTCTTATCCCACCACCGGAAAGGGAGAGCTTCACTGGCCAGACTAACCTAATCAGAGAGCTCCAGACCATTGAGAGAGTTTGTCTCCAAACAGGAAACAAAAAAATTAGAGGGCTGTAGTTCACTCTTTTGCCACTATGCCTTCCTTGCCAGGATGAACTATAACCTCAAAATGTGAGGGAAAACAAAACAAAAACACCCACGCTTCTTTCCTTAATTTGTTCTCACTAGCTACTTTGACAAAACAAGAAAAATAACTGTCACATTTACCAACCTTCTCCCTCATTAGAGGCAGAAAGAGCCCCCAAGTTAGTTATCGAAAACCAAGTGCTCAGCTCTGTGATTATGTGCATACATGAAACGTTATGCAGACTTAGCAGGCTGTACTTATCTATTTAGTTATATATATAGTTATATATATGGAGTCATGAAGTTGATAGACAAAGAAGGTTCACAAGAGTGGTTAGAGGAAAGAAGAGAATCATGAAATCATATTTTAATTTTAAAATTTTAAAATTAAAAATAATCAAAAAACATCTTCAATATGATCAGAGGCATGTACAGACATAAAGCCCTACATAACAGGGGAAGTTTAGGAAGGAAAGGGGGCGGGCAAAGAAAAGAGCACAGGATAAGGAGGAGGAGGAAATAAATGCAAGGAGAACATGGACATTAAAAGTTATAAAAAGTGTCAGAACCAAAAGTCAGCACTTTTGTCAAACTCCAAGAAAAAGAGCCATGGACATCACTCAGGTTCTCCTGCACTGCTGTCTGATATCAGCCAATCTTAAAAAAATAAAAATGCCTGAATCACACGAGGAAAATGATTTATAGAGGAGCGGAGGATAGAGCCCCAGCAGCTGCCTGTCCAGCCTTGGGTTGGTGCCTTTCCTATTATTTGTCCTGGAGTCAAGTAACAAATAACCCTTCTTGTGTCACCTGTAAAAATTCCTGTCTTCCCTCTTGTCCAAATTTACTATAGTATACAATGCTCATTTCTAAAATGTAACTCATCTCTGTCAATAAAACCAATCAGAACATGTCTTTCTTCATTTAAAAGAAAATTTCCTAGAATACATACAAAACTGAGTAAGAAAAGCTATCAAGATGACGAGAAAAGATAATTCAGAGGTCTGATAAGTTATATAAGACCTCTATATTAGAAATATAAACACATTGGGTTTTTTATAATTACATCTCAGTCCATGATAATTTCAAAGTAAGTGTAATTTTTAAATGTATTTTTAAAAGTAAAAAACTTTTTAGCAATAAAGATGCAAAAACATAAGTAAAATCTATTTTTACCTGTATCATAAAAAAAAGTCAGCTTTCTCTAGAATAGTTTCTAAGGTAAAGGCAATTCCCATAAAAATACCAAGAGGTGGCTTCTTCCATTTTGTGTGGATAGACAGCAGACAAGGGCTTGATGGTGATCGTGGCTGGCTTCAAACACACAGTTCTCAGCCTTAGCTTCTTAGGATGCTAAGAAGGAAGGCAGGAACCTGCTTTTTCCACTCCTTCCCCAATTTAGATGCAGTCAATGATCAAATCAGGGTCTCGAGGAGAGGATCTAACACTAACAATATCCCTGAATCTCCTTCCCCGTCCCTCCACCCACCTACCTCAAGGCTTCTTTATGACACTAAATAGGGTAATACTAAAGCTCCAGGAAGAAAACAAATTAAAAAACTTTATAAAACACTGAAGAACAAAAAGTACAATGGTAGAGAATCAGAAAGGAGCTAGAGGTGTAGCCCTATGAGAATTAAAATCTACCTTATAAAGACACAAAAATTACATTCTTCAAAAGGCCAGTATAGCAGTTCACAGGAAAATGGAAACTATACAACAAATAAACGTAATAGTTATTTGGAGCCGGTCCAAGACCAATAGATAGTTTATTTTTATTTTTTCCTATAAAGGTCATTATTACTAGGAATGTTGGCTTAGGTTTGTAATCCCTATATTTAGGAAGCTGAACCTGGAGAACTACTGAATCTGAGGCCAGACCGAGCTATAACAGTGAGTTTCAGAAAAGCATGAATAACAGTTCTAAGGCGCGCGCACACGCGCACACACACACAAACACATGGTATTTAATACACAGTATTAAGAAAATGGCTATTGAAATGTAAGTTTTAAAATATAAATTCCTAGGAGCTGGAGAGTTGGTTAAGTGGTTAAGAGCACTTGTTGTTGGAAAGGACCCAGGTTCGATTCCCAGAACCCACATGGAGGTGCACACTACTTCTTCATGCACCAGTATGTGTGTCATACAGACACATGAAGAAAAACCATTCATGCACATAAACTAATCAGGAGGCAGAGGCAGGTGGATCTCTGTGAGTTTGAGTCCAGCCTGGTCAACAAAGCAAGTACAGGACAGCCAAGGATGCACAGAGAAACCATGTACTGAAAAACAAGAACAAAACAAAACAAAAAAAATGCCTGGAGTGGTAGTGCACCTGTTTAATCCCAGCACTCAAGGAGGCAGAGGCAAGAGGATCTCTGTGAGTTTCGGGCCAACCTGGCCCACAAAGCAAGTCCAGGACATCCAAGGCTATACAGAGAAACCCTGTCTTTTAAAATGAATGAATGAATGAATGAATGAATGAATGAATGAATGAATGAATGAATGAATGAATGAATGAATAAATAGGTAGATAAATAGATAAATAATAAAAGTATAAAAAATTTAAATGTTCCTCTAATTTTTATTGGTAATTTCTTAATTTTGCTCATTACAGAAAAGGTATCAAAAATTCTAAAGCAGAAAAAACAGATAATTATAGAAATTTAGAACTATAAAATACCTATACTATATAAATGTCATACATTTCTAGCTTTTGTTAATCATGTTGTTAGTATTTTAAAATTTTACTTTGCCTATTAAATTGTTTTTTAAGACTGTAACAACTCACTCTTTCACTGCAGGATAACATTCTTAATTATCTTACTATAGCTAGCCATGTTTATGTTCCAGAAACTACTAGAACACAACCCCCTTTTAAGAAAGATTTATTTTTTATGATTTATATGCCTGCAAGAACATACGCTATCCGTGTGTGGCTGTCCTATGAAGGCCAGAAAAGGGCACTGGAACCCCTACAACTGCAGTGATAAGCAGTTGTGAGCCACCTGACATGTGCCGGGAACTAAAATCAGGAAGCACAGCAAGCTGAGCCATCTCTACGGCCTTAGTATATCATCTTTATGTAGTACTTCAAATCGTTTCTTAAAAAGGATTCCTATGTGAACAATGTTCAAATCAGATGTTTCTAGGAATCACCATATGTATATAGAAGACCAACCCAACTCCATTTTCTTCTCTGTCAACCCTTTCTCCTGCACAGACACAAATACACACATGCATGCATGACCAGGAGCAGAATGCAGCCATGCAAAATAAAAACACGGTCATGCGATGCCTAAGAATGTTTGATCCATAATGTTCCTAAACTAGAGAACAGAGAAGAGCTTCCACTGCCATAATACTGTACACACAACTCCCACAAACCTCTTGTGTTGCCAGTTGTGTAAATGTATACTATAGGTAGTTGTACATAATATTAAATAATGACAGTAAAAAATAGAATTTCCAGGAGGAAAAGCCACACTTAATTTTGAAGACTGACTGATTAGAATTTTATGACTGTGGAAAGTTGAAATTGGGCAAACTTGCAGTCAAAATTATCACGGGCTATTTTAGTTAGCCCCTTTAATACTCACTTAGTGCTCACTACTGTATCTTTCTTAGAACATTTTCCACTACCGCATACCTTTAGAATGCATAACTTAGCAGACAGCTAGCTTTCCCCAAGCTCAAAGCTAAGAACATCACAATACAGCATATGAAACCTATTTGCAGAGCTATTCTGGACTTGCTACTATAACTGATCTGATGTCTCTATTTATGTTATTGAGTACATGTATTGTTTTACATTATTTTGTTCTGTGACAAAAAAGTTTGTGTTACTGCTTCCTCAGAGGAACGTCTTTATCCACAGGGCATGGTCATTCATATTTGGCTCAGAACAAATGTTCTCCTATTCCCTCTATTATAAGAATCATTTCTTAGTTGGGTGTGATGGTTCATGCCTTTAATCCCAGAACTTGGAAGGCAGAGGCAAGTGTGTCTTTGTGAATTTGAGGCAGCCTGGTCGTCATGAGTTCCAGATCAGTGGAACTAAATAGAGAGACCCTGTCTCAAAACCAATAAATAAATTTTTAAAAATCTGTTTCATGCTGACAGCATTAAACAACTCTGCTCCTGGATTATGTATTTTGTCTTCCATCTACCATACATTTTTGTTAGTCTAGAATGCATTCTACATATACATTAAGTTTACTGTAAAATGGTATGCTGGAAAGCAGCCTTATCCATATTGTTTTTCGTGGCACTTGGCTACACTGGTGTGACTGACCTACAACACTGAGATCTGTGTAAATACACTCTATGATGTTCATAAAGAAAGTCAATGAATGTGATTTCTTAGAAAGTGCCCTCATCTGTAAATCATTCATGTAAGTTTCTCTCTGACTGCAGTAAGAACTATTAGAGAATTTCTTTGGCACCACGTATGAATCAAATTTTTCTCTATTTAGGAAATGCAGAATCATGTCAGCTGACATGAAGATGAGCATTTTTATCTTTTTAATCATGTCTTTTAGCAAAATTTTTAACCTTATCTTCTGTTGTTTGCATTTAAAAAGTTATCAGCAACAAACTTGTTTCTTTTCTTTCTTAACATCTTACAGCAAGTAAAATTTTTATACACCATAATGTTTCTCAGCGTGGGTTAATTTTTTTTTCTTTTGTGGTCCTTTATTATATGGTGACTTATTTCATCATTTCTACTTTTTTAATCTACTCTTTCATCAAGTAGTAAATACAAGACACATTTCTATCAAATGTTTTCCTCCTTATCATAAGAACATCCATGTAATATTTCTTTAAACTACTTTATAAACTCCTTCAGTGCAGCTTATTAATGATATTTTCATCGGATTGTTAATTTTTATTTTGCTCCCTTAGTTATAGTATGCTTTTATGTTGACTGGATGAGTACTCTCTTTTTAATAACCTCTGAATCATTCATTTTATCAAAGAATTTTAAAGTCAATTGATAACAACTTTGTACACTTAAAAATTACAATTGAGAATTTTTTTAGTAGAACAGTTAAATTAGTAATTAAGGCCATTAGTGTATCTAAATGGCCTATTTAGTCTATCTAAGACTGCTTTACTTATTCAATATTATATGTATTTTTAAAATTACATGCTTAAGACTGCTCTTATTAATGATAATCTGTACTAGCTTAATTTATCATGTATTATGATAACTTCAATTCTCAAATATGGGGGCCTTTCTATGAAAATCTTTTTATACTTACACAATATTGTAGAGTCCTTAGGCAAATGTTTAGAGAACTGTTTTTAAATCTACAAATAAAAATACTGACTGCTATAAATTTCTAATACAGTCTGCTTTCCATATTATTTTATATATCATGGTTTTACTAACATCTTTTTGTACTTTTTTGGTTATTTTTATCTGGCACTACTTTCTAATTTAGAGTATTCACAGAAATCTATTTTCTCTTCCAAATTACAATAGTATATTCTATTTAAGACTCCAATCAGACAGTGCAGATGGCTTAATATATCCTATTTTAGAATCAATTCATAATGCTAAACTTCCCAAAGACAAAGAAATGAAATAAACATCCTTTTAGTGAAAAATATCAAGCACTCAACAGAAAATTAAAACCCTTACACTTACAAAACAGAGGAAACCACATCCACAGAGACAGTAATATGTGTTCCACACACCACTGACTTCATTCTCTACTCTGCTCTCTTCTGTTCACTCTTCTCCAGTCACACCTCAGGACGAGATATGGTTCTATCTCACAGCTTATGTATCTGTTGTTCCCACAGTCTAGAACTTACACCCAAAAGACAGTCAGAAAGCTTACTCTCTCACTTCTTTTTTATTCAGAAATCATCTTTGTTGATTTTACTATTGTTTCCAGCTAGAGGAGAAGCTTGCTTAATATAAAAATGTTTGTGTTTTGGTTTTGTTCAATGATATGTCTTCAGAACCTATAATAAGGCTTTGTAAATATCAGGTACTTAAACACAATGGTTGAATGAGTGTTTAAATGTACATGGTCTGAGTCACTTGTTTGGTTTAAAAATCTCAGCTTACTCCTCTTACCAACTACATTTTCTTCTAAATCTCTTGGGATGTTCTATGTACCAGTTTCCTTCTTAAAAAAAAAAAATAGGATGTAACATTTCAAGTTAGAGTGTTAATAGCTGGAAAATAGTTGTGAAAAGTAATTATAAAATAAATCTTACCTAATTATTTACTTTAGTTTCTAACAGCTTTTCCCTCACATACATTCTAATTCTTTATAACACTGCACAAGGTACAGATGGCCCTTCAAATTAGCATGCTTTGCACCTACAGACAGAAAATATTTTGAAAAAAAAAATCTATACGGAACATGTACAGACCTTGTTTTAAAAAATCATTATTCCCTAAACAATACACTACGGTAACTAATTACAAAGTTTTTATATTACATTAGCTACTACACACAATCTAAACACATTATATCAATTTAGAAAAGGGACTTTTGCTACCAGAGAAAGAAAGGCTGTGTGTGGGAAGAATCCCTCACAGGCAGTGAGGCATGACTGACCACACTGCTATTCTGGGGAAGAATAGATGTGAAAACAGTTATCGACCTCGTAAGTCTCTCCTTGGGTTTTACTTTGGTCTGTTCTTTGTTTTATTTTTTCTAAATGCTCTTTAGTTCATATTTGCCACATTTATTCTCACCTATGATTTTTAATCCTTTTTTGAATCAACTTTATTTTTGTCTCATATACTGTTATAAATGAAGGGAAAGGCCACACGTGGTGGCTCATACCTGTAATCCTAGCACTCAGAAAGCTTGGGAAAATTATCACAAGTGTAAAAACAGCATGGGATCCAAGAAAAATCATGCTTTAAACAACAGTAAAAATATAGTGAAAGGTGAGAAACCATTACCTCCAGTCTATGAACTGTAATACAATTTACTCCTCAATAGCCGCTCGGCCTTCTAACAGGCATTAAAGCTGGATTAAACAAGGAAATGCAGAATTTTTGAGTCTGCATTTACTCTACCCACAGCAACTCAGAAGTTAGTCAGGTCTTTTTGAATTTTCCTTTCCTTTTTAATCATTTGTAGGAACAGTACTGAAGGCAGCAAAGGTGTAGGGTTAAAGCCATCTAAGCCTTTGAAGCCGAAGCTCCAGATACTGACAGGAAGCTGTAAGACTTGGTGTTTAACATGTTGGGTTTTAGTCTTGCTTTGCTCCATTCTTTCCTCACTATGTCCTCATCCTTCCCTAATGAAAAAGAAATGTACATTCTGTGCCACTGCATGTAAAAGTATATATACAAGGAGTATATATAAAAGAATATATACAAGGAGTCACAGCTGAAGAGATTGACTTTAGTTTCAGAAGACTATGGGGAGAGGTGGCATGTGGTGATTTGAACGGGAAATATCCCCTATAACCTCATATATCTGCACACTTGGGTCCCCAGTTGGTAATTCTGTTTGGGAAGGTTTGGAACCTTTAGGAAGTGTGGCTTTGCCGGAATAGGATGTCCCTGGTGATACGTTTTATTACTTGGTCCCACTTCCTCTGGACATATAAAAGACAACCTCTCCCCTTCCTAAATGGCATGCTATTCCTACCATGATGAAATCCATCCCCCTCAGAACTGTAAGCTAAAATAAATCCTGTTCTCTTCAAAGTTGCTTTTAGATGCACTTTAATATTTCTAGCCTACTAAACAGCCAAGTTTAGCAAAACTACTCACTGGAGTACTTGCTGCCTACTGACTGGAAAGGAACTATGGTCTGCTGTTGCTGCCCAACATCACATGAGACAAACTAAACAACATATTTGGCTAGCCTAGAAAAAAAAAATCACAGCTCAAGATTCGAAATATGGTTTCAACTGACTGTGCATTACTTTTATACCATTATACACATTTAAAAATGGCAACCATAAGAAGTAGAGAATAGCTACTTTTACTTCCTTACTTTTTCTACCAGACTGCTTTATCTTTTCCTTAGTTCCTAGAACTTTACAGAGAATCCAAAACAATGTTATTTAAATAGTACAATAAAAGCCTTTTCTTTTTCCTCCATCTAAACTTTTCACATAGACAAAGATGTATAATTATACTGCTAAAAGGAAGCAAGAATTGGCTAAGAATGTAAAAAAAAAAAAAAAAAAACACTGTAAGATTAAGGCTCACATAATATGTGGAGGAGCATTTAAGAATGTTGAGTTTTATTCTGAATGAGAGTAAAACTGTCATGTGGAATAAATTCTCTCATAATAAATCTTAACTATATCAGAAGTGGAGCTGGGGTATGATCTATCAAAGAATATTTTAGTAAACTAACCTATTATTTTTGCCCTCATAGCACCCAACACAATATACTGTTAAATGTACCACTTACCTGAGAAGTACCACTGAAACCTGGAGGTTGACTATATTCTGTGGAATCAATAATACTACTGCAAAATGAAGAGGAAAACAGTTTCAGAGATTATTTTAGTAACAGGACGTTGATCTAAAAAGTATCATTTATAAACTCAATAAGTATACTTTTAAGTACACATCTATTACTAATCATTTAATCATTATCAAAGGACAATAAACATTTACTACTCCCAGCTCCTCAACCATACGTATCAAGAAAGGTTATCAACTGGGCATAATCATAAGGTCAGTGTGCACACAGATTAATTTCCATTTCCAAGTAGGTTGGTAAGGTTTGGAACTTTAAGGAAAGGAGGATTTACAATCCTAGGGAAAACGTTAGCATGCACTTTATGCGCTACATGAGCATACCCTGCTATGGCAATGAGCAGCCATGTGCTCTTTTATAATCTCTCAGTTTCCCTATTACCAAACGAGGTGAATGAGGACTATATCTATCACTAGATAATTTTTCATCTTCAAAATGGCCTGATAAAACCTGGTAAAAGAAAGCTATTAAAGGAACAGAATAAATGTAAAATAACAAAACCTTTCACTCATAACTCCAAACCCATATGATACTAGTTTCCTCTGCCCTGGTAAAATACAGTGTAATTCATATACTGTTTTTCATTTGGTTACAACTTCTCCTCAACTCCTAAACCCAGGCTAGCTTCTTATTTTCTGTATTTCATCACTATTGTCTCTCTACCCTCTTAGGAAAAAAGTAGCTTATAAAAACTAGCTATATTTGAAAGTAGAGCACTTCAACTCAAAAATGCCTTTAGTCTCGCACAGTGGAAGCTGAAGCAGATTCACATATGTATGAGGACAGGGTGGCTTAATAGAGGACTTTTTTCAAAACAATAGCGATAATAGAAAAATAAAAATTAAGGATTCACAAACAGAAATATAACTATCATAAAAACTATAAAATATATTTCAACATAATAGTTATCTATTCACACTCTGCCTCTATTTCTACAATAAGCATGTTTATATTATTTTCTACCCTAATAAAATCAAGCAATGGAGGATATTAATTAAATGGCTAACTACATAAAAATCATAAATTGCCTTAGCACTGAAATAGCTTAAAGGTTACAAAAAGTGCTTTTGAAGTTCTGATTTTTAATTAAGTGGCAGCAAACAACTTGATTCTGAGCAGGTGATTCTTATCTGAACAGAAGTTTCTTCATTAAAAGATGACGTGGGATAGGTGTGAAATGGAAATGTAACATTATATATAATACTAAAATAAATAAACAACACATTTCTAATTCCATCATTAAAAATTAGCATAAACCCTCACCTTTTCAAAAATGGTAAAGCATATAGATTATCCATAGAAAAATTTAAAACTCTACACTTCTACTCCCTACACAAGTCTCAGCAGTTCCTGATATTCTAGACTGTGTCTGTCGAAGGTTCAATCACACCAAGAACCTTTACTGACATCAAGAATTTGGGGGACCCTTGGTATTGGATAAGCAATTAAGAAGTTCAAGCAACACTAAACAAACTCAGCAGACTATAGTTATACAGAGAGAGAGAGACAGAAAGAGAGAGATGTGCATATGTGTGATATACACATTCATATGTGCATGTGCATAACTGGAATAATTTTTTATTATTTATTACAATTTATTCACTTGTATCCCAGCTGTGGCTTCTTCCCTCATTTCCTCCCAATCCCACTGACCCTCCTTCTTCTCACCCATGCCCCTCCCTTAGCCCCCTGATAAGGGAGGTCCTCCTCCCCTTCCATCTGACCCTGGCCTATCAGGTCTCATAAGGACTGGCTGCATTGTCTTCCTCTGTGGCCTGGCAAGGCTGCACCCCCTCAGGGGGATGTAATTAAAGAGCCAGCCACTGAGTTCATGCCCAGAGCTATAAAGGCCATGAATTTGAGAGAAAGAGGGTTTGTGGGAGGGATTGGAGGAAGGGTACATGATGGGAGTTGGAGGTAGAACAGTTGAGAGAAACTGTATAATTATATTTTAATTAAAATAAAACAAATCTAAACCTATAAACTCTTGAAGTTGATTTCTTCTGATGAAATATAATTAATGAGTACATTCTGTATGTGTATGTTGGGGGAAGTCACATGTTATTTTCAGTTTCTTCATACAGGTACTAACAGTTAAGAAAAAAGCAAAATCCTGCATTAAAAAAAAAAAAAAAAAAAAAGCTTCCTTTACTAATGAAGCAATTCCTACCAGTTGTACAGCATTAATAAAATTACATAGGTGTGATGCTGAGATGAGTCAGTGGGCAAAGTGCCTGCTGCTGTGCACACACATCACACACAACCATATTCCCATATCCCTCCACAGATAGCAAGGAGCTATATCTTGACATTGGCATTCACAAAAAAATTTTGGACTATGTGCCATATTCCTAAGTACTTTATATTTTATACATGAAGAGTGAGAAAGATCCTTTATTAGTCTACTAATTTCATGGACAAATTTTAGGGACAAAAAATTAATAAGTTATTTAAAATGATACTGAATTATCAACTATTTTCTATAAGTACTGATAATTATAAAAAAAAATAATGACACCAAAAACAAAACTGGGGGAACTTTCAGAGTGGTAACTTAAAAACAAACAAACAAACAAACATTATATGTTTTAATTTAAATGAGAAAAATAAGATGCTAATTCCTAATGTTTCTGCTGGTGAGAATGAGAAAATAAAAATATAAATAAAAGCAATGCAGAGCTTAGCATCTAAGTGGGTTTCCCTGGTAAGGGGAATAGAGGCTGTCTCTGATATGAACTCAGTGGGGCTCTTTGACCTCCCCCTCTACCCCCTGCAAGGGAGGAGTATTCTAGGCCACAGAGGAGGGCACTGCAGCCAGTCCTGATGAGACCTGATAAAGTAGGGTCAGATGGAAGGGAAGGAAGACCTCTTCTATCAGCTGACTTAGAGAGGGGCAGGGAGGAGATAAGGGACGAAGGGTAGAATTAGGAGGGAATGAGGGAGCCGGGATACAAAGTAAATAAACTGTAATTAATATAAAAAATAAAAATTTATGAAAAAAAGCAATATAGAACATAAGGAACTAACTTCCATGCCAGACATCACGGTATGTGTGGTAGGAAACTAGCACAAATATAATCCACTTATACAGTAATTCGGAGTCATATAACTATCAATATAACCTGTTTCAAGAAGACAAAGACAGGAGCATTTTTCATGTAGAATTTTATAATAATAATAATAATAAACAATTTTCATTTGTAGTAAAAATAACAGACTAATTTTAGATAAGATTGTTTGCAAAAGAATGGCTGACATTTAAATGATCAGAATACATAATACTGGCAAACTAAATTATGATATTTTTTAAATCTAAAAGGCTGAAGATAAAGACACTGAATTTTAAAATGAACAATGGAACAAACCAACACATACAAAGGACAGAGTTAAAAGTAAACTATCTGCTACCAAAAAGACACATAGAAGTACTAGTGTATGTTATTAATTTATGATAGAGAAAAATAAAAACTTTTGTTCTTAACAAATCATGGGGAAGTATTGAAATCATGATATTGGACTTCTTCCCTGTAATAAATAAACTGACATAAATATTTTAAGTAACCATAATTTCAAATAGTAAATCTCATTTATTAATCGTACAATTCTAATGGACTGAAATATACAGATACCTCAGCAGATACTATTATAACTATTTTCTTGTTCATTTATTTTCTTTTTATTTCACAAACCCTTAGACATTAATACAAGTGGCAGACAAACCACCCAATATGTAACAATAATTTCAACTGCAGCAACAGGAGCAACTAACATCTACTGAGTCCTACATGCCAGACATTACTCGCCTGACTTCAAGTGTACTATATCCCATCTCACCAGTCAGCTCAGTGTTACCCTATTTGTAAAATGAGCAAAGCACCCACACGAAACATGCTTAACAGGTAAGTTACACAGAGATGAAATATGACTCTATACCATAGTTCTAAAATCCCTACACTAAAATAATCTGTCTTTGGAAGAACCACTGCCTCATTCTTGAATTTTCTTAATTATTCTTGATTTTTGAATACAAAGTTTCTACTGCTTCACTTGCTAATGAGCTAAGCTCCCCTCTTGGGGTGGTTTGCACAACCTTCTTTACCTTGATTAGGATATCAGTTGTACACTAACTGGGGTGCTGAGAAATTTTTTCTCACTGACTATATTTTTAATCTATAAAATGGATAAATTCATGTAAACTATAAAAAATTGTTTAATACGTGGCTATACTAGTCTCACTGTTCCAACTTATGGAGCTATACTCCTCTATGACAGGACAGACATACTGATTTTAACACAAAATTACATTTAAAATATAAAAAAATCTTTAGCACCTTCCTGTTTTAACTTGCACATGATTAAGAAGAGTATTTAGTTCTATAGTAGATATGTTGAGCAGGGAACCTAATATTTACATAATATTTAATATTTTAAATGATGCTATTCCACAATAATCCTGAAGATGAAAAAGAAAAACAACAATTTTAAAGCTTTATTTGTAGAATGGTTTCCTTCCACACAAACTCAGGGCTAGTAGATGTTAAAAGCACACATGATAAAAATTTTTAGAAAGATGGAACAGGTTTCAAGTCTACTACTTTACTGCCTTTTAAAGTAAACTATTTTCCTGGGTGGAATTTCAAAAACAGAAAAGAATACATTGAAAGATGTAAATAGGAGAGGTACATTCAAAGGCATAAGGTTGACCATCAGCCTCCAACAGAAACAGTCAACATTTCAGTTCTCCCAAAAGGTGCTGTACTTGGCTACTTTATATTTACAGCCACATATGTGATGCCTCAAGCCTTTAATTCCAACATTCGGGAAACTGAGACAAGAAACTTGCTGGGAGGACAAGGCCAGCCTGGGTTACATTCTATCAGCTAAGCTTCAGGGAAGTACTTAACAATAAAAATTTTAAGCCATTGTCCCTTCAAAGCAAGTGTGATGTCTATACTAAAACCATGATAGTGGAGTAAAAAAGAAAGCCAAATTTAGCACTTAAAAAGTGCTTAAAAAGTGACTTGTATTTAAAACTCTAAAACTGTTTAAAATTAGGAAGAAATATCACAACTGGGTTAATTATGCAGTTATTTCACCCTTACAATTAACACGTTTGTGTACTGATCCTAAAGTGTAGTGTCACCTGTTAGATACATGGATTTTTGGTAGATAGTTCTAATGTCTTCAAAAACTGACACTGATTTGTATTGATTTTTACGTGCATGTAATAAGTGATATGTATTTTCTATGGTTAAAAACATCAAATAATGGGAAGGGAGGAGGGAGGAACTACAGGGGGGATACAAAGTAAATACAGTGTAATTAATAAAATAAAAATAAAAATCATGCAAAAAAGAATCAAATAAAATTATAACTTTATACAAAAGAGAAAAATATTTAGACACCTGTACTCCATTCCTCTCAAATAATGAAATTCTAGACATACTTTTAAAACATCAACAATGGATATTTGAGCTACTTTTAAACAAATCTGCAATCCAGATACTTACAATCATCTACAATGATGCTTGTATATTTTCTAAAGCATTATCCCTACCATCTCACCTCCAGGCTGTTCCTCAGTCTTTGCGATCTTATTCAGATATGATGAATTGTACTACATAATAAGGGTTCATAATTCTATTATTTCAAACAGGGATCTTGTGTGTTACTAACAAGGACTGAAATAAAGATTCTTCACAGCTCCAGATTTAAGAATTTTGATTGATAGTGACAATATTCATAGCAAGAATCAAAAAGTACTTTATAAGGCTAGGAAGACAAAGAGTAAAAGAGGTTGCATTCAGGTACAAGGGTGAGTTTGAATTCCCAGAATACACCTAAAAGAGCCAGGTATGGCCAAAGCACCTATACTCCCTAGTGCCAGGAAGGAAGCAGATGATGGCACAATCCAAACTCAGTGAAAGATGGTGTCTCAAGAGAACTAGGTTGAAAATGACTTAAGCTAATGTCCTTCTAATGTCTTCACCTCGCCTCCATGCAAGGCACTCTCATGTATATGCACATACATATACATCACACACACATATATTTTATAAAAATTCTGAAATGACTATTAAAAAATATTCATTAACATTTCAGAGAAACATGAATTTTGATGGGCTTAAATTTTTGGAGTCAAAATTCTACTGATTCACACATGCAAAGATGATGTGGAGAAATGGGAACCCTCCTCCATTGCTGGTGGGAATGTAAACTTGTACAACCACTTTGGAAATCAATCTGGAGCTTCCTCAGACAATTAGGAATAGTGCTACCTTAAGATCCAGCTATACCATTCCTAGACATATATCCAAAATATGCTCAAGTATACAACAAGGACATTTGCTCAACCATGTTCGTAGCAGCTTTATTCATAGCAAGAATCCGGAAACAACACAGATGTCCCTCAACTGAGAAATGAATACAGAAGTTGTGGTACATTGACACAATGGAATACTAAGCTATTTTAAAAAAGGACATCATGAAATTTGCAGGGAAATGGTGGGAACTAGAAAAGATCATTCTGAGTGAGGTATCCCAGAAGCAGAAAGACATACACTGTATATACCCACTTATAAGTGGATATTAGACATATAATATAGGACAAACATACTAAGATCTGTTCACCTAAAGAAGCTAATCAAGAAGGAGGACCCTGGGGAAGATGCTCAATCCTCATTCAGAAAGGCAAACAGGATAGACCCTGGAAGAGGGAGAAAACAGGGAACAGGACAGGAGCCTAACACAGAGGGCCTCTGAAAGACTCTACCAGCAGGGTATAGAGCAGATGCTGAGCCTCATGGCCAAACTTTGGGCAGAGTGCAGGAAATCCTATGAAAGAAGGGGGAGATAGAAACACCTGGAGGGGACAGGACCTCCACAAGGAGAGCAACAAAACCAAAAAAATCTGTGCCCAGGGATCTTTTCTGAGATTGATACTCCAACCAAGAACCACGGAGATAACGTAGAACCCCTGCACAAATATAGCCCATTGCAGCTCAGTGTCCAAGTGGGTTTCCTAGTAAAGGGAACAGGGGCTGTCTCTGACATGAATGCAGAGGCTGGCCTGTTGATCACCTCCCCCTAATGGGGTGGGGGGTGCAGGCTTACCAGGCCAGAGAGGAAGACAATGCAGCCAGTCCTGATGAGACCTGATAGGCTAGGGTCAGATAGAAGGGGAGGAGAACCTCCCCTATCAGTGGACTGGGGAAGGAGCATGGGAGGAGAAGAGGGAGGGATGATGGTTTTGGGAGGGCATGAGGGAGGAAGCTACAAAGTAAAAAAATTGTAATAAATTTTTTAAAAAATTCTAATTCTGGACATTATGCAGAATGTTTAATTTGTTATTTCCTATCCCAAAACAGCATAATCGTGAGAGCAGGGTTTGAGGGTCTGTCATAATCACAATTATATCACAGTGTCATCACATAGTGTTTTATACCTAGCTGGTAAATCCAAATTAGGGGTAAACGACTTAAAGGAAAATCTTCCAGTATTCTAAATAACAGAAAATTAAGTTTTAAGAAAGATTTTAATAAGTTGTATTTTTATTATCTATAAGGTTATTAATGATGAGTAATAGGCAGGTAATTAAAAATTATTCCCTAAAATCATTTACCATTCAATATCTTCTCATGCCCAAAACAGCAGCAACAAAATAAACAAGTAAGCAACAAGGTGAAGGAGCACATCTTGACCAATAATATCAGGAACACTGGGCTTTAGAATGGTATACATTGATTTGTGATATTTTAATGCAGTTTTCTATTTACTTGAAGTAGTGATAAAAATTAACCAGGTTTTTTATAGTGAACAGTGGAGATTAGCTGCTTTACTTTATGCCTTGCAGAGAGGTGGAATTTGTTTGGGGCATTTTGTTGTTTTTGAGACAGGGTCTCACCATTTAGCTCTCCCTGGCTGGCCTTGAGTTCATAGAGATCCATCTGCCTCTGCCGCCTCAGTACTGGGAGTAAAAACATGTGTCATCATGCCTAACTTTTGCTAATACCTACCTTTCCCATCTTCACCAACAAAATCATAACCCAAGCTCTCACTCTTTTTTCATTAAATTTTCTAACTTTTCTCTATGCTTCCAATGGTATGAAGTCAGTAATGACATAAAGTATTTTATCTCTCTTCCACATGGAAATTAAAAACATTTAAAAATCCAAACCAGACCCAATGGTTTTCCCACATGTCAGGCTTCACTTCATCAGCTGTCATCTCTTTGGAGAAGGCCAACTACCTACACCAGAATACTCTTACAAACATGGAGCCTGCTGAAGTGTCCTTCTGAAGCTCCATTTTTATGCTATTTATTCCTACAACTGTTAGACATGTGCTTGCTTAGTATCTGTCCATAAGGCAGGAGATTTGTGAGCAAGATTCAGCACACCAAAAAACAAATGTAATTTTCAAGATTCATAAAATCTAAAAGATTGAATATTATAATAGTTAAGAAATGCTTTCTATTAAACTAAGTGACATCAATTGGGAATGGATTACCAGTTTATTATTGAAATGTTTGTGGTACCAAACTGTCTCCCTGTATGCAGGCACGAAAACCACCAACCTGTTGTCAGATACCATATATCAGAAACTGAATGCCAGGCTTAATGATAACAGACCTAGTCTTTAGGATTCTTTTAAAGAAATTAAAAAAAAAAAAAAAAAAAAGGTAGGAACAGGTCAATTACAAGTTAAGGTGGCTATTTGCTCTTACTTTAACATTTTAAACACAAAACGCCAAAGCCCAAAATTTAGCTAGCACATATTTCATGAAATATATTTTACAGCTAAAAGGTATCTCATTCACTTATATTCTATAAATAGTCAAATGAAGGGAAGTGTTACTCTAAAGTCTAGGGAGATAGGGCAAGAAATATGTATTTATTTTATATAACAATTTCTCCTGTAATAAAGCATTGAGATGGCAGGACTTAATTTGTAGGATGGAATTTATTTAATTTTTTTGAAGCAAGGTCTCATGTAACTCAGGTTGGCCTAGAACTGACTGTGTAACCAAGGGTGATACTGAATGCTTCATCCTAAAGCTTCCATCTCCCCAGCTGGTAAGAATACAAGGACAGACGTGGTATTATGTACCTGATATTCCAGCCACTCTGCATGGTGACATGAAAGACTGAGTCTGAAACTAGTCTGGGAAACTTAATAAGGCCTCAGCCTCCACTTCCCACTCAGCACTGAGGAAAAAAAACTCTATCAAGTATAAAGGTACACTTCTTGTAATCCTAGTACTCTAGCACTTGGGAAGCAAGTTTAGCTGTAGCACAAAGTTCAGAACCAGCCAAGGATAATGATAACACAGTTAAAAAAAAAAAATACTATAAAGATTTAAACTAACATGTCTTTCTAATGCTATCGCTTTAAAGCTGGAGATGGTAATCAACCCCCCAAAAATACAGCGAAATAAAAATGACTTAAAATTTTACTTCATTATCATTTTAAGAGAGGATCTTACTATTTATTCCCCAGCTTGCCTGAAACTTGCTGTGTAGACCAGAGTGGTCTCAAACTCAAAAAGACCTTCTTGCCTTTGCCTCCTCAGTGCTAGGATTTTAAAAACATGTGCCAAGACCAAGGTTTTCACCTCATTTCTCTAATATTACCATTTTATTATTTAAGATATGACATTAATTTATAACATATCAAAAAATTCACAAAACTTTTAATCCATCTATAAATTTAAAACACTGTAACATCTACCCAATAACTTAACCCAAAGGACCAAGAAAAATGATTGCTGCCTATACCTCACTTCTTAGAGCTTTCAGTCTTCGTTAACAAGGCTTCTGAGAACTACGGAACTAGGAACACTTAACACAAAATCCAAGCTTACATAAAATCCAAGCAATGGCTCACATGAAACTTTGTACCTGTGTGATGGAGAAGGAGCTTCACATTGAGGCACTGTGCTATCTTCACTGACAGGAGAGTACAAGCCACTCATTTCCTGAAATTGTAATTATCTGAGTTATTGTACACACTCCAAACAAAAGATGTATGAAGCAAAAAGGCATACAGCATTATATTCTATTCTAGTCCTACATTCTCATCGGTCACTTTTGTCTTCAAACCTAAACTTCTCAAGGATTCCTTTCCATAGAGTACAAAAAGCAAAGTTAATCTGAAATTACGAAAGCTTTTCCTACTGTTAAAAGATTATAAATCTTAAAAAATACTGTTCTAACTAACGAAAGCACCAAATGCAGAATAAGTGAAAAGAAAGTATATCAGAGAGGACATATAATATATTATATACACAGCTGACTATTCATGCAAGTGATGATCTATTAATGTCATTAGGAAAAATAGGCTGGGATGGTGACTGGATTACAACATTCAAATCTTCAAAGTAAATGACAAACTGGAATATGCCTGTCACTCTGTAAGAGTAATCTATAAACAATATGAAAGCAATATTTCTTGAATCAAATATTGACTTCATTTAACAATGACATAATTCTAACTTTTGCTCATTAACCCAAAGGGAAGGGGCTGATGAAAGATGATCACATAAATTATGTCACTGAATCTCACTAACTGGCATCTCATTTAATATGAAATATTCTAACTAATGGAAAAACAGCAAATTTGAAAATACAATAGATACAAAATAAGGTGAAACTGTTTCAGGCTTAGTTCAAAAACAGCTAAACAGGTAATATAAATATAACAAATTAGGAAATTATAAAGGACACTGAATTTCCATTAAACACTACAATACTCATACTATGAATGTTTTTCTCAGCAAAATGCAATTGTGTGTGAACAAGTCAAAGTGCATACAAATTTTAAATGTAGCCAAATATAGTGACATCACAGTAGCCTATGAATCTCCCAATGAATTTCTGTAATGTTTATTTTATTATGAATACCAAGAATATTTCCAATGTATTTACATCACTTTTAATTAACGTCAGTATCCTGTAATATATGCAGTAGAAATTAAAATAAAAAGTTAATAAAAAATAATAGTTTTAAGGAAATAATGAAGGGTTAGGAGGAAATTATTTAAATTAACTGGATTATAAACAGAAAATTAAGCAATTTTTGTTCCATTTAATCAGGAATTGTTGCAATAGATGTCAATATAAATTTAGATTACAATTTACCTACAAAAAAATTACTGAGACTTTGTTTCCCTGGACTAGCTGGGCTGTCAACTAAAATAAAAGTAAACAATGAGAAATGTAAGAATTTCTTGATTTCTTACTTCCACTCTTTTAATATCCTCTTCCAAAACACTCAGTTCCTTCTGGATCTGTTCCAATTGCTGTAGATTAAAGAAAGGGAGAAAAAATTCTAATCTACATCACATTTTCAACACCATAATAAAAATTTTAGGTTTAGGTTAAAAAAAAAAAAGTCTACTAAACTGACCATTAAGAGGACTGAAAAGAAAATCACAGAAGTAAATTCAAATGCTGACATTGAAATATACATGATATTTTATATGGGAACATAATTGCTATGTTTATTTAGTACAATAGAGGCTGATTTTATAAAAAATGTAAATAATGAACAATGACAATAAAGTGACTTAAAAATACAAGATTCATATTTCCTCATTTAATTGCTTGTTTTTAAAAGGCATGTGTTGTAACCCACTTTCAGTCTGACAGCAGTTATACCAATACCAAAGCAACTATGAATCAAGCACTATAATATTTACACATTATGATATAAATGTTTTTAAACATTTAAATATTTGGCTCTTCATAACAATATGATAAAACATATTGTTATGACATAACAACAATTTTCATATCTATAAAATAAAAGTATTTTAATCACAGGATACTATTCAATTATATAATGAAATATTCCTTTCTTACCAGAGAGTAAAGATGTTTACAACTATCATAAACCTAGAACACACAAGTGCCTCAGATATTATCATTATTATTGTATTATTGGGTTATTTCAGATTTTATGAGATGAGTCAAATAGAAATTATTCAACAGAAATAGCTCCAAAACTTTCATTATACACTAAGCTGCTTTCTAAAAGCTGTACTTCTCTGAGTAAGCATAACCTGCTATTTTACTTTAACCCAAATATATTGAACAATTTTAAAACACGAAGCAGTCACATATAAGTGCACAATACTTATTGCCAGATTTGAAGCAAATACTGTGTCTATTAGGAAAATGAGGCACAGAAAGGCTAGGTAATTTGTTCAAGATCATTCAGTCGGTGGGCAGAAAAACCGAAAGCAGCCTTCTTGCTATAAAAAGCAAGCCATCAACCACTGCAATACTAACTCAAGAAAACAGTTATCTTATGGTTTACACTTTTAATGACAGGTACAAAAGAACATTTTTAAAGGTTTGATAGTACTGTCTACTGCAGCAAAATAAGCACGTGACAACTATCTAAGCGATGAAATTATTAATCCAAAAATTACCACCTTAGCACTTTGCTAATCACTGAGAACAGTACAATGGAAGAAATGTTCAAACACAAGATCTAAGTGAAATTAAATCTTAATGGACTTAGAGAACTTTACTATAGGTAAAGACAGTAAATAATAAATGCTAAGGCTATGAGGAAAAGAAATAATAAAAGGAGCCTGTGTTAATGAATGTAATCACCCAACATCAATCTAATAAAAAATGATGAATCAAACACAGGACATTAGAGAAAACTAACATTATAGAGGCAGGCTAAGGAAGACACATGTTAACTGGAAAGACAAAAAGCCAGATGTAGCCACCAAATCAAGGGAGAAGATATATTCATCAGAGAAATCAATGGTTACCAAAAAGTGATTCGTATTACTACATATTTTCAAGTCAACATTGCATCTACATAGAGAAACTTTGCACATTCTTAAAAAGTGTATTCTTAAAAAGTGACAGTATTTCTATCTTAGCTAAAACACTGTTAGTATCTTTCCTGAAGACACTAAATGACAACTTGGTAGTCTTTCAAATAAAGACTGGGCCAATAACCAATTTTTTAATGTTCCAGATTCACAGAGTACACACAAACACTACTTCCTCTCCATTCATCCCATTGCTATTTCTAACTATTAGTACTTCACTCTAACATAAAAGTACTCTAGCCCAGCTCACATGACAGTCATGTAGTTTAAATGGTTTTCAACCTATTTTAGCCACTTGTAACATCCCAGTTATCCCTCACCTGCAGAAGTCTTTTGTTTCAGACATTTACGATTCCAGTGGTTTTTACTTCTAAATCAACAAAGCACTCCCGTGTTCAGCTATTATATACTTTCATCATCCTGAAACGCATCACTCCTAAATATCTTTGTTAAATTTTTTTTATTCTAGGGATTATTAGTGAATGTTATAAACAGTTAAAAACCTGTATCAACATAGACAATCCATATCATACTTGGTCATCATATAACCTATATGTATAAGCCTATAATTCCAATACTTAGGAGATGGAAACTAGAGAATCAGGAGTTTAAGGTCATCTTTGGTTGTTGAAGGCCAGCCTGAACTACATTGGACCTACAGCTTAAAACACAACTTATCTCCCCCCACACCCCAAATAGTACAGACATATCAAATGTGGAAAAACAGGTCAAGAAGTCATATGGAAAAATATATTAAGAGGACAATAAAAAGCATTTATGTGCCATCCTCCTACACACTGTAGCAGGAAACGTTTTTAAAAATATAACAGCAAAAATTTCTAAAAAGGATTAACACAAAACAAGAAAGTAACAGGCCTACTTAACTGGTGTTGTGTACAGCAGATCTACACTAGGTCTAAATACAAAAGAAACAAAGTATATTTTTAAAATGCATACAGTGGGGTTAGTTGGCAATTGCATGTCTCAAAAGCAAATGAATCTGTTTTTAATCCCCAGAATTTCTGTTAAAACGCTGGGTGTAGTGGCCCATGATTATAATCCCAGCACTGGGAAAGCTAAGGCAGCCTTGCTAGCCTGCTTAGCTACTTGACAAGTTCTAGCTCAGTGACACACAAGGTATAAACGTGCACCTGCATACACATCAAGGCAACTATACATAGTCAGTCATAAAACCACCTCAAATACAATGCTTCAAGAATCAACACAGCAGGATCACTAAAGACTCAGCTAAGTAAAAAAAGAAAAAAGACAACACACTTTCACAACTTTACACTGCACTACACTTGTTAAGTACAAAACTTACTACCAGATAGTAAATATTTATGTAAAGAAATTAAATCATTTTCAAGGAATGTACCTTGCAAAGAAGGTTTAAAAAAATCTATAATGAAAAACTATGACGCACTTAAAAAAGGAATTAAATGAGACACTAGAAGGAATAAGCATCTCTCATGTTCAGGGATCAGGAAAACTTCGTATTGTAAATATGGCAACATCACTAAATGAAATTCAATGTAATCACCAACAAAATTCCAATCATACTTTCATAATAATAAAAAACAAAACCCCTAAAATTCAGAAACACAAAGACTCCCAAATAGCTAATGCAATCTTGATCTAAAGGAACAAGTTAGAAATATATTATTAAACAGTGCTGCAATGAAGAAAACAATGTTTGTCATACAAAACCAGGCAAGACTATAGCAGAGAACAAGGATTTTGGATTTGGAACAAATCCAAAAAGGATTTATGTAACTACATCCACAGAATTCTCAAAAACGGGGCCAAAACACATCTTCAGAAAAAGTCTCTCTGGCAAATGATGTCATGAAAACTGGATATTTGCATATAAAAGAACAAAAGTAGATCCCTACCACTTAGCCAGGACTAAAAACAAAGGTGGGGGGGCAGGAAAACTCAAGTCAAAATGGATCAAATACCTAACCATAAGAAGGAGAAAATAGAAAGGAGAAAACAAAACAAAAACATACAAGAACTGTCTGAATAGAACTCCAATAGCCACAATCAACAAATGAAATTGAACCACATTAGAAAGATTCTGCACAAATTAAAGAAAGGTGTGCCTGAGGGTACAGAGTGACTTCAAAGGTAACCTGGCAAAATTAGTGAAACCTTATCTCAAAAAAGAAAAGAGAGAGAAGGGGAAGGAAGCTTGGAGATTTAGTTCAGTGGTAGAGCTCCTGCCTAGCATGCATAAATCCCCAAGTTTAATCTTCAGACCAAAAAGAAACCTCTGGGCAGAAGTAAAAGAGAAAATAAGGGAGCTATCCCAAGCAGAAAGAATCAAAGCATATTACAAGCATGTTGAAGATTCCATAATAAAACCTATCATTTTATGCAAATAATGTATGCTAATATAGTAGAGTACAAACCTAAGAACCCAGTAATCTAAAGGCTGGGACAGAAAGATTGAGAACTCAAGGCCAGCCTGGACTATAAATTCATCTTGAGACCAGCTGAGGTTACACAAGAAGGCCCTCTCTTGAAAAATAAAGAATTAAAGTTAACACATTAAAAAGTAACCGTGTTTCTGTTATGGTACAATTAAACCAGCAAATAAATGCAGAAAAAAAAATGAAAATCTTCATATTCAAGAAATGTTTCTATCTAAGTGAGCCACTGTTAAAGATAGTACCATATAAAGTACTGTTCAATAACATTTGAGGCAGCTAAAACGAAAGTACAACCAAAAATCCATGTATGACAAAGTCTACATAAAGAGCACATCTACAGCAATGCATGAGATATAAACAAAAGCCAAGTAGCAAGGAGTGATATTAAAAAAGAGAAATAGAAACAGAAAGCAGAACATAGGATAAACAAAGTCAAAAGCTGATTCTTAGAATTTATAAAATTGATATATCCCTGGGAAGAACCAATCAAGGATTTAAAAAAAGGTATTAGTGGTATGAGAAAAGAAAGAGGCCACTATGTTTTGACAAAAAAATTAAGAACATATCAAAAATTTATGATAGACAATTTCTCAGAAAAGTATAACATAAAAAGGAACCAACAAGACTCTGAATCAATAATCTAAAATCTACTGAAAACTAATGACAGTTCTAGATGGCTTCTCTAGTTATATTTCTAAACATTCAAAAGACATACATCATAGACTGAATAAATTTTACCCCACAAAGCAAAAGAAAACCAGAAGAGTGTATGTCACTTGTCAAAGTTAACAATCTTTACAACACTGCACAAGATCTGTGTAACTTTACTAGTTCACCCAAGAACACAGACACACAAAACTTTTAAACAAGTTGGGCATGGAGGAGCACACCTTTAATTCCAGCAGTCGGAGGCAGAAGCAAGAGAATCTCTGTGACTTTGAGGCCAACCTGGTCTACAAAGCAAGTCCAGGACAGCCAAGTCTACACAGAGAAACCCTGTCTCGAAAAACC